TTCATCCGGGAACAACAATACCGATATAGGGGCGTGGAGTCTTACCGATACTGGACGTTTATATAATATATATCTCTTAGCTGCAGGTTTCTGTGTTATAACCGACCAAATTAATGAGTGACTTTCAGATGCGAAATTACACTACGCAAACATGTTAGAATCACTGCTGTTTGTTTTGTGTCATTGTCTAGTATGCATAGAGACGTGTCTGCCATTGTAGTCATCAGAGGGACAATGCTGCTATTAAGTGAAAAAAAATACTAATTTAGAGCCAGAGCTGAAATATTGGAACATTTAGGAGAGATTAATTTACTACCACTACAGAAAGAACGTTATATTTACAAGGCATAAATATACAAAAGTACCACTGCTAAAAATTGGAATATTTAGAAGACCCTAAATTTACTAATAGCGTAAAAGTATGGGAACTTTTACAGGAATTTACGAACGCTGGTGAAAATATTGACACGACTGGTACGCAATATTGTCTAGGACTCTAGGTACATAAGTGTTGGAAACGAAAAGGAAATGCGTTAGAAGTCTGTATATTATCTGTTTCTCTTGTGTGGAATTTCCCGCGGAAATGGCTGAGGATGGCAACTGTGTGTGTGTGTGTGTGTGTGTGTCCACCTGGTTGAACAGTAAAAAAATCGACAAGAAAAAGATGACGAGAAACTGTGAAAAGATAAGAAAAGATTACCATGTGTTGCCATTCATTAGATGACAAAGGAGTGTTGACTTGATAACCAACCCGTGTACAAGGTCGACTGTCTTTCTTATCTCGTAATTACTGGAAATAATGACAGCTGCCTAACGATATTGTCTGTGGGAAATATGGCATCATGTTAATGTTAGTGTTTAAGAAATGAGACTGATATTATAATGAGTTGGGGGGGAATGTTTATGGTTTAAGACAATGTACTGGTAAACAAAACCTTTTCCTTTGTCTCCGTTGTCTTAAGTTTTAGTTTCTTTCCTTAAATTATCGTTACATTTTATTCCTTTACTTGAATCATCGAAAGATTTTCCCCGTTTACACCTACTTTGTGTTTGTTTCTCTATTATGTAATTTCCAATACATAGATTATTATCGTAAGATTTTTTCCCACGTCACTTTGTAAATTGAAAGGGAAACAATTGATATAGCCAGAGTAATTCAACTCCAAAGTGAAAGACGGCAATGTTAACACGATTGAGTCTGTTGTGTGAAGGTATTGGGTACAACACAACTCTGATATATTGAAAGAAAGTGTGTGTGTGTGATTGGGGCCACGTTCCCGGCAGAGGTTAGCAGATCTGATCGTCTGCGTCCGTCCGTCAGTGGGTCGTGATGAACTGGACGCTTTGTGAAGGTCTTGACCTCTGTCTGGTTTGTTGCTTGTTATCATATTGTGTGTGTGTGTGTGTGTAGTGCATTTGTTTGTAGATGTGTGTCAATGATCAGCCATATCGATGAACTATCATAAGTCTAATGTCATTGGTTAACAGCAGTGATGACGTATGAATGGACTCGCCTTTCTCTGGTCTAGCTGTGTCATTGGTCAACTGTGTTAATGATGCAGAAAAATGTATTCTAACTTTCCCGTATTGTGGTGCATAACTAATTGTCAGCTCTGGTGATGTGGCAAGATGGAGATGTGTTTTCATTGGTCTAAGGTACTGACGACGTAGCAAAGTCATCCTGTTTCATGGGTCAGAGGTTCTGATGACGTAGAAGCCACCCTGTGTCATTGGTCAAAATTAGTGATTATAAACAAATACCGTACTATCATTGGTCAAAGGTACTGATGACGTAAGAGAGTCATCCTGTATCATTGGTCAGCAGGTGGTCAACAGTAATCATGATAGGGCAGTGGTGGCGTAGGGGGAATGGACACGTGGCGCACCTGGTAGACATAAAGGCCGGAAGATAGGGCTACTTAAGGCTGGTATTATGTGGTCAGTAACATCACAAGGCTGGTTAGTACTCCGTCATTATCGTAAACAAGGACGTTACTCAACACTACTGAAGGAGGGAGTTGGTTATGTTGTAGTGCTGGCGGGCGGTCACCACAGTAACTCCCAGCGGCTCATCGTAGTAATTATCTTCCTTTACCATGTTTTGCCCACGACGCTTCACTCCTCCAGGGTGGTCACGACACGAGAGCCTCCAGTCCTCCCTATCATTAAGTACATCTTATGTCCTCACTCTTCCCTGTATCTCCTCCTCTGTTGTTCTCTCCTTAAGGTATTGCTCCACCTACCCCAGCCATGGTCCAACTGGTCATAATAATATTTATCATTATTCACATTACTGTTATTGTTTGGTGTGTGTGTGTAGGTCGGCTGGACAGTCAGTCATATCCCAACAAAGGCATGAAAGGGAGGATGATTTGGTGTAATAATTAGTCAAGGTAACCAGGTATTGTGTTGTGTGCTGGTTGTTGTCAGTGTTTGGTCAGTCGGCCTGGGATAAACAAACTACTCACATCCGGACACACAAACATAGTAAAGTTGATAAAGTTGGGGTTTAATTAAAGAATAAGGAGTCAAGGTTACCCACCAGGTGCACAGGTAATTGACGTTATTGTTCTAATGGTCATTGGTACACCTTGAAAGTATACGTGTGTTGGGATTAAAAGAAGGACTTAGATGTCAAGGTAAGCCAAGTATTTACCTGGGTATAAACTGCTTCGTATTTTGCCCCTAAACGAGTTGGTGTGCGTACCTGTATACTTGCATCTGGACCTGTATTTGTATAAGTACCTGCACCTGTAGTTGTACCTGTCCCTGTACCTTGACTTGTATTTGAATCTGAACTTATTTATGATTCAGTACGTGTCTATCCATATACTGTACCTGTAGCTGCACCTGTACTTGTTGCTGTACCTGCACGGTTATTCGTACCACAGATCTTATTAAATTAGTCAAACGAGATTCAATTTACAACAGGACAGGTACAGTAGCAGTGACGGGCCATCATGATCTCACGTGTTTTGGTACCACTCCTTGAGACAACTCCCACTCCCCTTTTACGGCAACCCTCCCCTCTCCACCTCCTCCCTTCCCACTCCCAAACAAGGGCCACAACCCACTCCATTTCCCCACGTACGTCTCGCCCACACGACCAGGACGTTGGCGACATCCTGTGAGGGCCAGACACACGGGTGTAGGTCAAATGGGCCCCTGAACCTTGATAAACCTATCCATTAGGGTTGGGGCCTGTTCGGACTCTCTCTCTCATATGATTTAACCCCGTAACTGGTTGGTCTGACCTCTGGGTGTCAGGTGGTGTGAAGACGGATAGGTTATAGATTTGTTTTTCGTGGGCAAAGGGCTAAAGATGGCTCAGTTAGTGTTTACATTCGCCGTCGATATTCATTTGTTTTCACAGATTTGTTTAGATTCGACTCACACATTAAGGACTATGACGGGTTTGTTCTGATTCACCCACATTCTGATCAACCCGAAATCTGATCCACCCACATTATGATACACCCACATTCTGATCAACCCGAAATCTGTTCCACCCACATTCTGATCCACCCACATTCTGATCCACCCACATTATGATACACCCACATTCTGATCAACCCGAAATCTGTTCCACCCACATTATGATACGCCCACATTCTTTTCCACCATAAATCTGTTCCGCACAGATTTTAACACTTATGCAAATCCTGAAGGACATTTTGGGTGGTGTACAGGGTGAGAGTGAAAGGATATTACCCGAAGGATGGTATGTAGGACGCGACAGACGGCGTAGAAGAAGGAAGAACAAGTGAAAGTTTAGGAGAAGGAAGAGAAAGAGATGGCGGGGAAGGAGGAGGAAGACGAATGGGTGGAGAGGGAAGAAGACGAAGGGATGGGGAAAGAGGAGGAGGAGGAGGAAGATGCTAATGAAAGAGAATGTTGTGAAGTAGAAGGATGAGGGGGATAAGGAGGAGGTGGTTGTGAGGATGAATGAGGAGGAGGAGGAGGAATGAGGAAGAAGGAGGAGGTGGTGATGAAGGAGAGATTTCAACGAATGATTGCAATATCGTGTCTTTCTTTCACGATCAAATTTCTTATAGAGTGGGGGGGGGGGTGGTGAATCTCCCCTGTGGTCGTCCCTCAACCCCCTCTACCCCATCAACCCCCTCTACCCCATCAACCCTTCTGAGAGCTGTTGTTATTGTGGTGTGTATTGGTCACCACGGCTTCATCACGCCACCCACCCACCCACCTATCCGCACGCCGCCACGCATTCTCCTGTCGCAATCATAGAGCCGTTAGCTGGCAGTTGGGACTGAGTGAGGTAGAGGAAGGGAGGAGGCATGACCACAGCCCCCGGGGAGAGAGAAAGAGAGAGGGGGGGGGGAGGAGGATATACACAACCACAGAGTCTTGTAAGTGGTTTAAGAGAGTGTATTACCACCACTGTATCATCACAAGTTCATATATCCATCCGTCTTGCCTCGTCCCTGATCGTAGCCAGAGTCTCATTTTCATGTGAGTGGAGGGATTTTCTTGAAACTTGAGCAAGAATATCGGTTCCTCCCCTCCCCACTCCCCTCCATCGGGTAACTGAGACAACGGGAGTGTATTATGTGTTTGGGTTGAGGTAGAGACGGTAGAGGAACAAAGGCAGGTGACTTTACGGTAGTTCTTAAGTGCAGGTGTGTGTGTGTGTGTGGTGAGAGGGGAAGAGGGCATAGTCCTTATAGGTTCTGACGCAGTTAATTGTTTACCGTCGCGTCGCCTCTCTACCGGATGACTCACCACCACCATCACCACCTCACACGGGGGCTGACATTCACACACCTCTATGTTCACTCTTTCTCACCCTCTGCCTCCACCAACCACGGCCTCTCTTCTTCATCTTAAGTAGACTAGTTATCATCTACTTTCTACTTCTACCTTTAATTAATGCAACATCCACCTCATCCTAAGTAGATGTCCCCTGTTTTCTACTTCTACCCTTAACCAATATAGCATCCACTTTCTACTACTCAGCTGACACACTGTATAGCATCTGAGTATACGACGACCACGACGGTCTATACTTTCTATCTGTAGATGGCTCTCCTGGACCCCAGCAGTGGCCACAGAGAGCCAGGCAGCAGCAGCGGGAGTAGAGCCAGAACTAGTATACCCGGCCAGTTCTCACAAGACGATTTCACACAGCACAGGAGTCAGTTTTTTGAGGTGCTATAAATACGCCAGGTGACTTTCAACCGTCTCTTATAGCCTGACGTTAGTTTCAGTGCGGGGGGCATTGGTATGTTTCCTGGTGATTTTATTAATGGTGTGTGTGTGTGTGTGCGCGCGTGTGTGTGTGTGTGTGGAATTAGCGGATCTCATGAAAATTAGACATTCCAGTTTATTTCACCCGAAGATTAACCTCACCTGACCTAACCTAACTTATTTTACCCTGCCCTAACTCTCCCTTAAATATAGCATTAGGGTGATTAATCTTCAGGTCAAATAAGCTGTGAGGGAGGGGCTAATCTTCAGGTGCTCCAAGTTAGGTGTTGACTATAAAGTGTGATGTGTGTGTGCGTCATTGTCTTATCGTGGGAATTATGTTCACCGTGTTTCTTAAGTGTTGTAATAAATAAAAGGAATTATCAAATCTATTTACACTTAATATTATTTGAATGATAATTACGTCTTAGAAATAATATTAAAGTATATATTTATTAAGATATTTCAATGTTTGTTTGTTTTTTATATTGAGCAAGACAGTCTATTGCACTATAAGGACAATAGCTAAGACAACATTTAGTCCCGTTGTCAATAAGATTATTTTATGATAACAAAATTCAACTAAACAAACATGGTAATAGACCTTTAGTGACGTCATTCCTCTTTATTAACCAATCAGCGTGTCAGGTATAGTGCTTAGAGACCCCCTTTATAACGTTAATATTAACCAATCAGCGTGTAAGAAACTGGAATGAAGTTTTATTACGTCATCCCTTTATGTGACCAACGAGCGAACGTGTTGCCCTTAGCATATAAACATGAACTGTAAATGTTAATAATAGTTTTTGTGTATTTTCTAAGGCACGTAGTTGTGATACTGTACCCCAAACCTTGTCGAAAATAACAATGTGTATGTATGTATATAAGTGTGTGTGTATGTATGTATGTATGTATGTATGTGTGTGTGTGTGAGTGTACGTATGTATGTGGGTAGGTGTGGGTGTTTAAAGAAGACACTACAAACTTCTGTTTTACACACACACACTCACACGTTTCCAGTAAGTGCCAAGGAAGTGACTAATGGTTTCAGTAATGTTGGCTGAATCCCTGATGATACATTGGACTAGTAAGGGCTTAACTTAATGCCCTGAAAACTCAAGTAAATAAGTGTTGAGTACATTGTGACGATAGCCCTTTGAGTACAATGTCACGATAGCCCATTGAGTACAGTGTCACGATAGTTCCTTGAGTATATTGTGACGATAACCCCTTGAGTACATTTTAATAGTCCTTTGAGTACATTGTGGTAGCTCCTTCAGTACATTGTGACTATAACCCCTTGAGTACATTGTGAACTTTAATGAAGAGAAGTGTTCAACTGCTTAAGACATCGTACTACAAGTTGTCTTATTCACTGGACTAAATCATCGTACTCAAGTGGACTAAATCATTGCACTCAAGGGGGGTAACACATCGTACTCAAGGGGGGGTAAGACATCGTACTCAAGGGGGTGGTAAGACATCGTACTCAAGGGGGGGTAACACATCGTACTCAAGGGGATTTAATAGTCTTATTCATTGGGCTTATTCATAGTACTCAAGGGGGTAAGACATGGTACTCTAGGGGTTGAATATGTCAGGAAAACTGTATATAACAATTTATTTTCGAGAGCTCTTGCGCCAGACGAACATATACGCCCGTGCTGGAAGAGGCTGTGACAAGACTAAACTTTCGGTCTGTCTTATCTTGTCTGGAGAGAAAGTTATGTGTGTGTGTGTGTGTGTGTGTGTGTGTGTGTGTGTGTGTGTGTGTGTGTGTGTGTGTGTGTGTGTGTGTGTGTGTGCGTTTGCTGGCACACTTATTGACTACTTTTCTGGCTGGTGTGAACTCCGAGAAAGAATCGACTCGTGAAGGGAGGATGAAGGAAGGAGGGAGGGAGGGAGGGAAGGAGGTACTTGGCAAGGAGGTAAGAAGGGGTGGGGGAGGGGGTGAGGTACTAGGTAGGAGGGATAAGTACTAGGCAGGGAGAGGGAGGGAGGTACCCGATAAATGGTTGCCAGGAGATAAAGAAGATGAGACCAGGAGGGAAAGTGAGGCAAGAAGAGTAAGGGGTAAGAGTAAGGGGGGGTCAAGTGAGGGCAAAGAAGTAGGGGGAGGGGGGGCACGTGAGGCAAGAGAAGTAGGGGAGGGGGGCAAGTGAGGCAAGAAGTAGGGAGGGGGCAAGTGAGGCAAGAAGTGGGGGAGGGGGAAGTCAGAGAAGTGGGGGAGGGGGGCAAGTGAGGCAAGAGAAGTAGGGGAGGGGTGAAGTGAGGCAAGAGAAGTAGGGGAGGGGGCACGTGAGGCAAGAGAAGTGGGGGAGGGGGCAAGTGAGGCAAGAGAAGTAGGGGGGCAAGTGGAGGCAAAGAAGTGGGGAGGGCACGTGGGGCAGAAGTAGGGAGGGGAGTGGGGCAAGAGAAGTAGGGGAGGGTGGGCAAGTGGGGAGGCAAAGAGGCAAGAGAAGGGCAAGTGAGGCAGAGAAGTAAGGGAGGGGGCACGTGAGGCAAGAGAAGTAGGGGAGGGGGTCAAGTGAGGCAAGAGAAGTTATGGGGGGACCAGGTATGAGCTCGTGGCCGGGGGCTAGGATGAGAGGGAGGATGGACACCAGGTAAGTCCAGGTAGGGAATTTAAGGTCGGTCCAACAGGTAGCAGGGACCCCAGATCTCGTTGACCTTGGCAAGACGCGTTGACACTGAGGAGCTCCGTCAAGGTCAAGCTCACGAGAATTCTTGGGACCGTTGTTATTTATTGACCGTCCTAAAGAATTGATCTGCTGGGAGCCTTATGGGGAGGGGGTAAGAGGGAAGGGAGGAGAGGGAATGAGAGGGAAGAGGGGTGGTGAGAGGGTAGGGAGGAGAGGGAATGAGAGGGAAGGGGGCGAGAGAAAAGGGGGTGGTGGTGAGGGGGCGAGACGGGATTTGGGGTTTTTAAGTGAGGGAATTTGTGGTTATCTTTTTTTTTATAAGTTAAGGATTTTGTTGTATTAAACCTATATATCAGGAAGCTGTTCTCTTGTCTGTTTGTCTGTTTTTATTCAGGTGGGTTTGTCTTCTTCCCCCCCCCCCAAAAAAAAAAAATTCAATCTTATGAATAATATGAAGTGAGTTTTTTATTCTTTATTGTTTTCTTCTCTTGTGTCATTTTCTTTAGTTGTCGTGTCATTTTCTCCACCTATCGTGTCATCTGTGTCATTTTCTTCACCACCTGTCGTGTCAGCACTCGAATCTCCTCATCTTTGCACCTGATATGTCATGGGTCGACTTGGGTGAGAGAGAGAGAGTGAGTGAAAGTGTGGTGTTGGGTCTTAGAGAGAGAGAGGTAATGACTTCTACAGAGAGAGAGAGAGAGAGAGAGAGAGAGAGAGAGAGGGAGAGGTAATGACTTCTACAGAGAGAGAGGGAGAGAGATATTAACTACTACAGGAAGAGAAAGTAATCTGCACTACAGTTAAGGAAAGAGAATGACTTACTGTCTAGAAAGTCAGATGCCGTCCACTACAATAAGAAAGTAAAGTACTGTCTCCTTAGTGAAAGTAATACCCGACACTTACAACTCACTCACTTAATTACTTACTTAACTTAACGGACTTAACCTCACCTAACCATTGGAACTGGGCCCCAATAGTAATGCTTTAGTTATGTTAGATTGGGAACTTATTTAGTACTGGGGCCCATTAGAACTGGGTCCCTTTAGCACGGGACCCCATTTCTAATGCTTAGGTTTCGTTAGGAATGGAATTGTTAGGAGTGTGACCCATTAAAACTAGGACCTATTAACTCTCGCCATTAGATTTGGGACCTATTAGCTTGACCCAACATCCATTGCTATGTTAGGATTGAGAGTTTGAGACTATTGGTACTGGGACCCAATAGGACTTAGCCCCATAACACAACATCCTTTACCAACACACACACTTGGTATTATTCACCCTCTGCACAAACAGGTTCCTTCCACGGCGCACTACTTACACTCAACGGCTTGTACCTGGAGAAGGGGGAGGGAGGGACGGACAGAGGGGTCATTCACGTTCAATGTCAAGGAGGCGTCCGTTCATCCTGCGTCGTCCTGAAGGTGAAGGGCGTCCTGTCTGACTCCTGGAGGTGAGGACGCCCGCAGGTAGTCAGTCCCTCAATAGGAGTCCCAAGTCCCGTCATTTTCACGGTTCACTGACACACAATACACTTCCAGCCCAAGAAGGGAACAGGCGTGTCACTGGATGGCTTAGGGTGACGTCATCTCCTTGTTCCGTGTTATTGGATGGATTTTTGTGACGTCATCTCCTTGTTCCGTGTTATTGGGTGGATTTTAGGGACGTCATCTCGTTATTATCTATCACTGGACGGTTTATAGCGACGTCAGCTCCTTAGTCTGTGTTGCTGGGTAGATTTTAGTGAAGTCACCTCGTTATTCCGTGTCATTTGGTGTTTTTCGTGACGTCAGTTCAGTGTTCCCTATTGTTGGATGGATTTAAGTGACATCATTTCAGTGTTACACGTGCCAATGGACGGGATTTATCGGAAATCGTGTAGGCCAGCACGAGCGAACACCAGCGCTTGTAGTTCATCAACACCTCGCAGTAACACACTAATTAAGGCTTGTTTTTATTACGTCATGGTCCTACTGCGCCAGACGACTGTTCGCTCGCCTTCCTCCTCCACCAACTTACCTCCTACCTTCTCTCGCTCCTTCCTTCCTCCCTCCCTGTTTACCTCTTTCTCCCCACCTCTCCCTCCTTCCCTACTCACCTCTTTCTCTCCTTCCCACATGCCCTGTCAAGTTCTTTTCATTCTCCCTCCCCTCCCCCCTCCCTCCTCCCTCCCTCCCCCTCCCTCACCTCCCGCCTCTTCTCTCCCTCCCCCCCTCCCTCCCTCCCTCACCCTACCCCCCTCCTTCTCTCCCTCCCCCTCCCTCCCCCCTCCCTCTCCCTCCCTCACCTATCCCCTCCTTCTCTCCCTCTCCCCCC